GCTCTGGATCATTTTAACTTTGAAACTAAAATGGATTCTGTGTTAACACAGAAGTTAACTTGGGGAACAACATTAAATCAGAGGGAGTTTAGATAAAGACTTCTGCTTCTAGTGATCAAAGGTTTCTTAATCTATAAATCCAAAGAGTTCAATACTGAAGATCCATATGTTCTTATCCAAAAGGGTCTGTGCCAAATAGCATTCGAAATTTGAAGTTTTTCAAACTTTAAAATACCAATACTGGGCATAGGGCAAATAACAAATAACACTTGAAGCTGGGTCTTGAGTATCATTTCCCTAGCAAATATTTGAACATATGAATATTCTCACTAAGTAGGATAAATAGAGACTATAAATAGCCTCATGCCAGTACAGGTCAGTTATGCTGCCAACTGAATAAGTTTCAAAATTACGATAAACCTCTTAGTTTTCAGAGCTTTCTGAATTTACGAATGGCAGGTAAGTGATTATGCACGTATATATTACCCAACGCAAAGAGCCAGGTCTAAGTCTCCTGACCATTCTACATAAAGATCCTTTTAAAGCAAAAATGTTTGGTTGTCTTCCTGGATATTTTCGTCAAGTTCTGTTTAGGAAGCCCTGAATGGCAGAAGTCACCCTGACTTAATTATTCAAACTGGTTACAAAGCAAAATAAAACCTACAAACTTAAAGCATTTCCCTTTGAAAGCTGGGCATGGTAAGACTAAAATACTGATAGCTTTCTTGCTAAACACCATTATCTTTAATAGTTGAAGGGACTTTTCACAAACCACTTGCATACACAATTGTACCTAATACATTTGTTGGCAGAGAAACGGCACCAGGTGTTAGATCAGTGGAGTCAGACCAGACCTCGGTTCAGCAACCTCGGTACTTGAGTGCTGACTAAGAAAGAATTCAGAGCCAAGTTTCAAACTATAAGAGAAAGTTTACTTAGAAAGTCACAGAGGTAGAAGTGAGTCGTAGAAGAAAAGGGCTCAGGAAACAAGTTACAGAGGCAAAGAAGGACGCGTGGAGCTTAGGAGAGGGAGGCGAGGAAAACGGGCCTGGGGGACTCCATAGAGAGAGCCTCAGCCCTTGGGGATATTTATCTGGAGGCCACAGGGGAGGATCCCAATAGCGATGCATCAGCTTTCCAGGTATGTCTGCTCAGGGCCTTGGTCTCTGCTGACTGGTCAGTGCCAGGCAGGGGGTCATTAGCCAGTGCAGCTGGTCCTGAGGTCAGCCAATGTGTCACTTACCTGGTTTTGCTGCTTTTCTGGACCTGGAGCTGAAACTTGAACTGAGGCCTAGATGTATTTGATGCACATCAAAAGCTCATTGTCCTGGGGGCTTAATGCTTAAGGACTGTTCACCGGCCCCTTGTTCGTTCCCCCCTCGAAGGGGGTCTAACACACATGACTAGCAACATGCTAGGGGAGGGAAAGGTCAGGGGAGGGTCCGAACCCCATGACCAGCGATATGCTAGGGGAGGAAAGGTTACCCTAGCACAGGGGTGGGAAACCTTTTTGTGAGTGCGTGCCAAAACCAGCAAAATCTCTGACTCAAAATTCTTCTGCGTGCCAACCCTAATTTTTTGAGAACATGTTACGCCTACTTGATATCTCTTAAGGTGTACGTATGTGAAGAACCTTGAAGAAATAATAAAATTCATTCAAGTGACAAAAACAAAGTATATGATGATGAAAAATACATTTATTTTTTAATGTATACATGTTATGTAAAATTATTTATTTATCTAAGATGCACCTATACTGAATTTATCTGAAAAATAAAAAAGTCGATATTAAAAAAAAAACAACTATAAGTGGAAGATTATAAGAGAGGGTTTTGCGTGCCAGCAAGTTACTGGCATGCCATGTTTGGCACGCGTGCCAGGGGTTGCCCACCCCTGCCCTAGCATATCACTGGTCCTTGTTTTCCCAGTTTTGCCCATTGCTAAGCACCCGGAGCTGTCCGCCCCGGTGACCTTCTGCACCTGGCCTATCGTCCTTCCTATGCTCTTATTGTCTAACTGCCTACCACACACTGAAAAGCAAAAAAAAAAAAAAAATTCAGGGCCCTGTGCATTTTAGTCTAGTAGTTGCTTCTCAAACTTGACTGTCCATAAAATTCACCTGCGGATCTGTTGCACTGCTGACTGTCTCACTGGGTCTGGGCGGGCATTTCACACAAGCTCCTGGCTGCTCTCTAGGGACCACCCTTCTTGTAGGTGGCTGCTAAGAGACACGCACGAGGTTGGGAAATACATGGACTTGAGTTAGATCCTGACTCCACCACTGACATGCTGAGTGACCCTGGGGTAAGTACTTAACTGCTCTGAGCCAGTTACCACCATCAGTAAAAATGAAAACAACAGTGACACCTCCTTTTCATGACTATAATGAGTAGGTGAGCTAGCAACAGTTCCTGGCAGATAACAGACCTGGAGGTCCACCCTAAGCCATCTGTGGCAGGCTACATAATGGGCACCCAAAGATGTCCACATCCCAATCCCCAAAATCTGAATATGTTATCTTACATGGCAAGAGGGGAATTTGCAGATGTGATAAATTAAGGATCTTGAGATGAAGAGATTATCCTAGGTTATCTGAATGAGCCAACATATTCACAAGTGTTTTTATAAAATTAAGTAGGACTAATAGAAATATAGAATCAAAGGTCAGAGGGAAGATGCTCTTTCTGGCTTTGAAGATGAGGGAAAGAGCCTAGTGTGTAGTCTCTAAAGCAGAAACCTTTAGAAGGAAGGCTTCTCTGAAGATCCATGTTAGACTTCTGACTTCCAGCATTTTAAGAGGATAAATTTGTGTTGTTTGAAGCCACTAAGTTTGTGATAATTTGTCACAGCAGTCATAGGAAACTAACACACCATCTAGGAATAATGCTAGTGCAGTCTTGCCTCACATCACATAATAAAGGATTTCCTGAGGCTGAGTCACCACGTGAAAGGAAATCAGGTAACAGCTGACCACGTGGAGGTCAACACACAAAGAATTCTTTAAGGAGACTTTCCATCAAGGGAAGAATTCCTTCCACATTTTCTGTTTGATTGGTTATGGCAATTTTTAATAAACAGGGCTGGACACGTGTGTTAATAACAAACTATACTAATGGCAGAAAGGAATCTCTTGCACTGTAATTGTATTATCCTGTTCCCACTTGTCAGCTTCCCACATAATTGCTGAAATCTAACAAGGCTCCTGGGGACAGTATCAGTGGGTCGATGCCTCAACGTCAGGAGGACCGAAGAAAGTAACCCTGGGCTTAAGACTGAAGGACTGAAAATCAATGGTCTCAATATTTATACAAATCTTCATTTGCTATTTGTAATGTGGCTTCTCCCATAGAGAAGCTTTATGAAAATATAAAATACCAAGATAACAAAAAAGATGTCTGTAGAATGAAACATGTTTTGCCCTGCATTCTTCAGCTCCAACAGCTCCTCTTAGCACCTCTGGTTTTGCATTTCCCGTACCAGAAGCTGAGCTCCGTGGAAGGGTCTGGGTATCCTCTCTCCAACTACCACATGCACAGCATCTAGCACTGTTACACACTAAAAATTTGCGGATGAACAAATATTATGATAGATATTTGTAATGAAAAAGCATATTATGACTTTCATTAGGAAAAGAATTACCCATAAAGTTCTTTTTCTCCAGTTTGAACTTAAAACGACTTGGCCCAAGATATTACTTATGTGGAACTGAGAGTATGCTTTCTGATTTTATTTGCCTATGAATACATGCATTTAACAATGTGCTAAGCAGTCAAAGCAAATAATTACTTTTCTAGTGTCTGCCCCTGAATAAAAACTAAATGAGGAGGAAGCCACTAATTGCATATTTAAAAATGATAACTAGTTTTAAAACATTCTGCTTAATCTCAGACCACAACACTCAAACAGTCACAGTCCTTTCATTGGCTCAGTTACAACCCCACAAAACAGCCCAACTCTTCAGACCAGATATAAATTCTTCTTGAGTCGCACTGAATATAAAATACATATTCAAACCAGTTCACATTTACGAGGTCTTCTGACCAACAGTAGGGCTGATCATAAAAACCATATCTTTCAATTTACGGGGCTTCCTCACAACCAGAGGGTCCCCAGTCACCAACACCAACCTCATTCTCAAGCTCCTTCGGGCCACAAGACTCCCTAAAGCGGCAGCAGTAACCCATGGCAAGGGGCATCAATCTGATACAGGACTCATTGCTCTAGGGAACAAGGCAGACAGGGAGGCGAGAAGGGCAGCCACACACCAGCCTGCAGAATCCCAGCTCTTCACTATGCGGGCTCTTAACCCCTCCCACGCCACAGAGGAACTCTCCTGACACACAGGCAGAAGCTGCTGGGAAGGGACCTAGCTCACCACGGCAGGAAAACTATCCTCCCACAACAACAGACACCCAAATCCCAACCCAGACTCACCACTCCCTCCACACAGGAAAAAGGAAAGCTGAAAGACTGAGGAAGAAATCACTAAGAAATTATTTAAAAAATAATAATATGAAGGGATAGCAAATAAAGTTTCAAAACATATAAGAGACCTGAAATCCATAAATATGTCACAATATATATTTATATGCTGTATATGAGGCCCCTATAACCATAAGAAATGCAAAAAAATTCACTGTTAATAACTCATTCTCCAATTGCCCCCCTTAAAAATCAAACTGCCCATGCCCTAACCGGTTTGGCTCAGTGGATAGAGCGTCGGCCTGTAGACTCATGGGTCCCAGGTTCGATTCCGGTCAAGGGCATATACTTTGGTTGAGGGCACATCCCCAGTAGGGAGTGTGCAACAGGCAGCTGATCGATGTGTCTCTCTCATCCATGTTTCTAACTCTCTATCCCTCTCCCTTCCTCTCTGTAAAAAAATCAATAAAATACATTTTTTTTAAAAAATCAAACTGCCCCCCTGTGGGGCGTGTGCCCCACATTGGGAACCACTGCTCTAGCCCTTTGGGAGATTATCTCTACACTCTCAACCTCACTTGCCACCTCCTTCGGCAGCATGCCGGCCAGTTCTCTCCAGGCCTACCACTGACTCTCCCCTTGATCCTCCGCTAGAGCTGGGAGACTGGGTATTTCTCCAGGCATCCTACAGCACGGGGACGCTAAAGCCCGAAAGGACAGGACCACACCAGGCACTCCTGACCACACCAACAGCGGTCAAGCTACAGGGAGGGATATTCATCCTGGGTCTACTCCTCCAAGTTGAAGTGAACCCCTGCACCCCAGACTCCACCACCAATCAGCTTGGGTAGCTGAGGGTCAGCCTCGGACCGACTGGCCTCAAATTTACAAAAATTTCCGAGGAACCGTAAGCCCTGGACCCTTAACCTACTCCCCTATGAGCCAGGCTTCCCCCATTGCCCCTCACTGTCCTGTTTGTGCTGGTCCCTGTCTTTTGGCCCCTGCTCTGGCCAGCCCCCTCCCTACTGCAGAACACTTACCCTATCCTTCCTCAAAGAAGTCCCTTCTCCTTTTCATCCCAGGACTGAACACAGTTACTGATGTTCTTATGGGATTGTTATCTGCAGGGAGATTTCATAGACTTTTCCTGGGACCAACTAAGCTGGCTAGAAGTCAACTCTGGGGATTAACTTAACTAGAATTCAGCCTGGGAGGCCCTTACTCACTCTTTATTCTGGCTGGTAGTATTCCTCGAAGTCACCCATGTCATTTTTTACTTTTTATTGAGCCATTGCCTTCTACCATCTGGTTGAAATTACGCTGTATCTGTTAGAGTCTACAATGACCTCCCAAGCCTTCTCCTCCTCTTACTGTGTATGCAGGTCTACCCCATACCTCTTTAACACCTCCTAAGTCCTCACTATCTCTCTCGAACCCTCAACCTAACACATCAGCTCCTCAACACCACCAACCCCACTCTCGCGCAGGACTGATGGCTCTGTCTTCCCCTCTCATCAACTAGCTACACGGCAGCCCCAGCCTCCTTATACACATGGGCCACCTCCAGTCTACCCTTCCACTGTAAGATACATGGAGGGCCCCTGTTCCAACTCGTGTGCCTTGGTGAACTTTATAACTTCCAACTCACAGAAATGACAAGAGGAACGCTCTCAGGCAGAGCCGTTCAGTCACTCCAGTCATAATTAAACAACATAACTGAACACTCATCCAACAAAGTCCCCATCTTAGGACCAGTTACAACCAACACTGTCTTAGCATATCAGGCACCTCTTTGCACCAACAGAACACTCCCTGCAGGAAAAGTTTTAGGATATCTTGATCAACGTTTATGCAACTTTACTCTCAACCCAACAGCCCCTTTTTGAAACCATGTGCCTCCCCATTTGATTATCAGCCTGGCCCATCATCTCAGCAACCTTCCCAACGACCAATACCTCCCAGTTCTGTTTGGGTCAACCCCTTTCCTGTGCCAGCTATTTCCCATGGCAGATTTGCAACTCTCAATTAAATCTAACTGCCGTCGACTGCCCTCCCACAGACTCACACATTCTAAATTTTGGGTGGAGACGGAGAGGAAATATATCTTTTTTGAGAACACCACCACTGGGGCTACACAGGTCAATCCCAAAGGCCCTTTCCAGCCCCTTATGGGGGGCAACCTTGGCTGGAACTTTGTGAAAATGAGAACAACAAGGTCACTGGTTCTTCACCAGTGAGAACACTTTCTGCTTAAAAATCAGGGAATCTTCTTTCTGTGTGACACCAATACCTGTCTCCCAGCCAACTGGACTGGGACCTGCACCCTAATCTGTCTTGCCCCAAAATAGACATTGCCCCTAATAATCAGTCCTTTAAGTTTCCTCTCACTGCTTATGCTCAGTCTTGGTCTTTTTCTGGTGACAATATGACTGAATACATTAACATAATTCAGAACAAGTAGTAAACATCTACAAGAACATGTTATGTAATTCTAGCGAGTCCCATAATACTCTATTTTTAAAGAAAAGAAACCAGACTGTCAAACCTCAGAGGGAAGGCAGGGGAGGAGGGGGGGTAAGAGATCAATCAAAGGACTTGTATGCATGCATATAAGCATAACCAATGGACACAGACAATAGGGGGGTGAGGGCATGTGCTGGGGGGTAGAAGTGGCCGGGGAGAGGTCAATGGGGTGGCGGGGGGGGGGGGGGGGGTAGGGAGGGGGGAGGCATATGTAATACTTTAAACAATAAAGAATTTAAATTATTTTAAAAAAGAAAAGACACCGGACAGAAAAATGCTAAATTCAGAATCCGATTTTCAAGTGTCCAATAAAAACAGAAACTTGCTCACTGTGTGACCCTGAGTGAGCTCTCTAGCTGATGCTGCAGTGCTGACTGGTCCCAAAAACCCAGCTAACTGCAGATCAGACCATTTGGGAGTAGCATTAATCTGTCTGGTCAACTAACACCTTATCTTGGTTTACTTCAAGTCCTACTATGACTTCTAACTCTTTTAGAAACTGAGCACTCTGTGGTCACTGTAGCACTGTACAATCTCAGCACCTAGGAACCCTTGGCCAAGAGTCACCAGGTGGCCAAGGTCATAGGCAACTAAGATTTTACCTCCCTATAGAACAAAACTCACCACCTTCCTGTGAATGTGTTTCTGTACCAAGCTGCTAAGGTATTCAGCACCTGATTGGAAGTATAGAGTCAGTCATCTGCCACTGTGCTATACAGCTCCAGACTGTTGAGGTTTTAAATTCTTGCTGCCATCAACGGCTCTTGGTTCAGAAACTGAGGCCTTAAGAAGGTAAGGAGTGTGTCCAAGATAACCCAGTGCATCAGGAGCAGATGTGGAGCTGAAGTCCCAGCCACCTGAGCCCGAGTGTTCAGGTCTTTCTCCCTCTTTTCCATCCGGCCACCTTTGTAGAGGCCCAATCGCAGGACAGGCTACTTCTCTAGAGATTACATCACTGGATTCTACCTGCTGGGAGTGGATGACGTGGGCATGTGCACATTGATGAGTTTGTGTAAAATGCTAGTAAACAGATGCGGGAAGGTCTGAGGGTTCTCCCTGCTGATTACACTGCAGGGAGAGCAATTCTGGGCAGCCCCTTTTCCATTCGTTTATCTTCCTTCTGGGATTGTTTTGCAGAGGTAGGATGGAAAACAAGTGAGCCTTGATGGGGAGAAATTAGTACACTTTGGCTTACTGCAAAGGAACCTTGGCTTCTAAAGGTGTTACACATCATTGCAGGAGTCTTGGTTTACAAGCTAACATCAGATGAAAACAAACACCTATAGCCACTGCAGTGTTTTCTGCAGTAGTCCTTGGTCATTGCTATTCCACTAAGCAGAGACCAGGACCTAGATAAGAGAGGCCATGGATGCCTGCTCTGCCTCCCTGAGGGGCAGGGGCAGTTTCCACTTGCTTATACTTGCTCATTGGGCTATCAGAGAAGGACATCAGGGTAGGGGAAGGAAAAAAAGGAAGTGAGTTCTAGAAGGCATCTATTATTTTCACATTCCCGTGGGCCTCCACGGCCATGCAGCATACTCTTCCTTAGGGGACCCATCCTGTTCTTCAGACCACGTGGCTGCAGCGGAGTGGACCCCACACCCTGGCTTCAGTGGGCCACATGAGCTGGTTGGGTGTTGGTCTGGGGCTGTGACTATACCACCAAGAATCAGGTACTTTCTTTCTGTTGTGGCTTCTGTAAAAAGGATATAAACCACAGCTCCAGGAACCACTAACTAGAGAGCGCCTACGTGATAATGAAGTCAAGCCAGAGGAAAGCAGGGCTGAGCAATGGAGAGTCCAAGTCCCAAAACAACCTCTGAGTCTCTGGATCCAGCCACACCTGAAAGCCAACTCTACCTCTGATATTTACAGTGCCATTAGGTTACCTTAGAAACAATTAATTAAAAACAATTAATCCAGATTAAGTTAGATTTCTGTCACTTGAAACTAAAAAAGCACTAGCAAATACAGGAGAAATAAAATTGGGAGAAGAGACAATTACATTTATGGATATAGTTATCTGGAAGCAGTTCAAGTTTGTCCCCTGGAAATAAAGCAAGGTGACACGTGGGAATCTGCTCCATTTTTCATATTAAGCTCAGATCATCAGAACTGCAGCTCTGCCTAATTACTGTGATTAATCTCACCAAATTCTAAATATAAAATGAGTGTGCATTTGTCTGATGTTTGATGATACTGCAACCGTCATGAAGAGAAGAAATGAGCCATTACCGAATAAAGACAACTTTTAAGGGGAATCATTTTTTTTTTCTGACCAAATGCAGTTATAACTGGGTAAAGGAGAAAAGGTCACAGAGACAACTCGGATCTTACCTGGCATGGCATGGATGAGGTCCCCACACACAACAAAGAATCTGGGCTTGGGGTTCAGCTTGTTGATGGCCTGAATGGCTTGCTCAGTTAGACGAATCTCCTGCCCCCACTCATCTCCACCATTGTCACAGTCCCCAGTGGTCCAGGCCTTCATCAGTCCAAATTGTGGGTCTGCACCCTGGATGAAGTAGAATGGGCCTTTCCATTCCTTTTCCTGTTCTTTAAGAAATAAAAGGAAAGAGGAGAAATATGATTAAGGCTGCCAGGGAAAGCATCCAGGTTACCGTGCAAGTAGATACAATATTTTTCTTAAATTAAGTAGGTCATTTTAATAAGCTGCTGTCCAAACATACCATTTTCCTGTCATAGTCTAGAGGATGTTGATTTATACTAATTATGCCTGGGACCTGGTGTCTCCCAAAGGCCAGGACAAACGACGTGGGCCTCCACGGCCATGCAACAAGCTATTTGTCTAAAAGCGAGCTGGCCAACATGGAGCTCAGAGGCACAACAGCCCACTACAGAGAGGATATTAATGCTCAATAATAGGTTTTTAATTAGAATTTAAAAAACCCAACTGAAAGCTGCCAGAAGTATTATATTTAAATGACTAGGTGAAGTACTCTCAAATCTTTTAGCCAGGCTTAATGGCACAATTTGCACTGTTTCAGGGGATGTGACAGAATTTCAATTATAAAACTTGGAGCTCAGAAGTTCTGGCTATCTGGTGGGCTATGCTG